CTGCCTTTCAAAGAAATTAATAAATATTTAGCATGGAGCTTCAGTGATTGGAGGACATGACTGTGGAACACATAGTTGAGAGCCATAGCAGCAGATTGTGGTGATGGTGATGGGTTTGAGAATAATACAAGATGGCAAAGATGAGGACCTCGGGAAACCCTCGTTTAAGGTACGGAGATAAGTCAGAAAAGGAGTGGTCTTGGAGAGGTGGTTACAGATATGGAGATTAAGGTAAGAGTGCTTCCAGGAGACTGTCAGAGAAAAAAAAAAGGATGTGACTGTTTAAAATTCTGTATTTACTTCATTTCATTTCATTTGGAAGGCAGAAAAACAGAGAGATGGATCTTCCAACAGCTGGGTCTGAGCCAGGCTGAAGCCAATTAGCTGGGAACTCAATTCGAGTTTCCCATGAATAGCTGAGCTATCACCTGCTTCCTGGGCTGTGCCTAAGCAGGAAGCTGCAATCAGAAGCTGAGCCAGGACTTGAACTCAGGCACTCTGATACGGAATGCCGGTGTCCCAGGTAGGACCCTTTCAAGTTTTGTGGTGTTCTTTCTAGGAAGTGGCTTACAAACTGTTGGCTGCATTTTCGTTTCATGGAATGGACTGACCTGTTATTAAATGCTGCCTAAAGCTGCTCTCCCTCTTCTCTACCCTGCCTCTTCTCTAGGGAGAAAGAAAAATCTGTCAAGCCTTTTTCCCAAGCAACATGTTTTTGTTAACGTTGTTTGCACCCCCAGCATATTGGCTAGCTGTCCCAAGCAGTTTGGATCCATGAGATAAGTTGAAATGCTTAAGGACAATTTTGCCAAGGGATGTCCAGAAAGTTGATTTGAGGATAATGCCAAAAACTCCAGCTCTCTGATCTGTAAACGGTCAGAAACTACTTATCTTTGGCTTTCTAACCAAGAACATATGAGAGCAGCGTCCAAAGAATTACTGCTTCCTGGTAATACTAAATCAACACTAAATATAGAATATAAGCCTATTGGACTTAAGGATCAGGAACATTGGAAAATAAGCCTGTGTTAATTTGCCTAGCTAACCTCTGAAGTGAGAACAGCGCCAGTTCCCACGACTGCTAACAGTACTATCACCAAAAGAACTCTCTTGTATAGTTACTTTTTTTTTTGCCCCTCCTTAAAGACTTATCAATAAATACAAAAAATGAATGGGAGGAAACATGATCAAAGGTGCGTTAGTGGTGAAACATTTAAACTTGTTTTTGTAATGTTATCACAAGGGTCTTCAAAGTTCACAGGAAACGCTTATTATTGTTATTCAGTAGCATACTGCTTAATTGCTATGTATTTGTGAATTTCTTAAAATCTCTCCTGTTACTAATTTCTAGTTTCATTCTATTATGGCCAGATAACAGACTTGATATAATTTGAAAGATTTACTTGAGAGGCAGAGTGACAGAGAGGGAGGGAGAGACAGAAAGATCTTCCATCTGCTGGTTCACTCCCCAAATGCCCACAAACACCAGGGCTGGGCCAGGCCGAAGCCAGAAGCCTGGAACTCCATCCATATCTCCCATGAGGGCAGCAGGGACCCAAGTACTTGGGCGATCATCCACTACCTCCCAGGTGCATTAGCAGGAAGCAGGATCAGAAGTATGGAGCCGCCAGGACTCAAACCAAGCGTTCAGACAAGTGGTGGCTTAACCCGCTGCACCACAGTGCCCACCCCAAAACAACCTTTTGATTTAACCTTTTCACAAATGAAATATAATACCTGATTTCCCAAAGATATTTCATATGTCACTTTCAGAGTCTAAGTGGGCTTCACAACAAAATCAAAACCCCACAGTATTTCCTACAGAGTGTGTTGTTTTGTTTTTAAAGGCACATAACTTTTTTGACAGGCAGAGTTAGACAGTGAGAGAGACAGAGAGAAAGGTCCTCCTTCCGTTGGTTTACCCCCTAATGGCCGCTACGGCCGGCGCGCTGTGCCGATCCAAAGGCAGGAGCCAGGTGTTTCCTCCCGGTCTCCCATGCGGGTGCAGGGCCCAAGCACTTGGGGCATCCTCCACTGCCTTCCCGGGCCACAGCAGAGAGCTGGCCTGGAAGAGGAGCAACCGGGACAGAATCTGGCACCCTAACCGGGACTAGAACCCAGGGTGCCGGCGCTGCAGGTGGAGGATTAGCCAAGTGATCCGTGGCACCGGCCCAAAGGCACATAACTTTAAAACACACATATTTCAATCAGACGCACTCTTCTGGAGTGGAGAAGATGACAAGCTTAATCTTAGACTATTGTTAACTTGGTACAATTTTTTGGATGGCCACTTCTATTAAAATGTTATGTTCTATTAAATGTTGCGGCCAGTGTTGTGGCACAGCGAGTCAAGTTGCCACCCACAACACGCTGGCATCTCATCTGGGCGTTGGTTCCTGGCTGCTCTGCTTCGGATGCAGTTCCCTGCTAATGCACCTGGGAAAGCAGTGGGGTTTCCTTGGGCCTGTGCACCATGGGAGACCCAGATGAAACTCCTGGCCCCTGACTTTGACATGGCCCCGTCCTGGCCTTTGCAGCCATTTGGGGAGTGAACCAGTGGATGGAAGAGCTTTCTCTCTCCCTCTGCCTTTCAAATAAAATTAATAAATCTTTATAAAACATTTAAAAAAACTTTAAATGCACAAACCCTAGGCTGAGTAGTTCTACTTCTGGAAACTGAGCTTAAGAAATTACTAGCATAAGAACATGAGGATGATTGGGAGACTGGAAAGACTGATTCCAGTTCATCCACATGCTGAAATACTAGATAAAGCTGCTAAAAAAAAGGTGAGAAATCAAGATGTACTGACACCTTGCAATGTGTTCCAGTGAAAAAGACAAGGTGCATAAGTGTAGGAGGAGTATGATGCTGTTTATGTGAAAAAAAGTATATATGCTATACACGCACAGGAGCATTTACAGGATACATAGCCAGTCCTTCTGGGGAGTAGGCCTGTGGAGAAGCGCTGGGGAATTTTCACCTTGCTTTATCCACTAATCTATCTATGGATAAGTTTCTCTGGACATTTCCTGTAAACGGACTCATAGCATATGCGACCTTTTATGTCTGGCTTCTTAGCATAATGTTTTCAATGTTCACCCACATTGTATCATATATCAACAGTTTACTCCTTTCTATAGCTATATATTATTTCCATAAGTAAAAAACTCTGTGAATACTTTTGAGTTTAAATGTAGTAAAAAGCACCTTAACCTTTGTAGAAATCACCGTGATTCAATGGCATCTTAAAGCGCACTTCATGTTTGTCTTGCTACTCCTAATACTCTCAAATACCTTGTCTCTCAGATCCCTTTAAAAGTTTATCCCCGCGGCCAGTGCCCTTGCTCACTAGGCTATTCCTCCACCTGTGGCGCCGGCACCCCGGGTTCTAGTCCCGGTTGGGACGCTGGAATCTGTTCCGGTTGCTCCTCTTCCAGTCCAGCTCTCTGCTGTGGCCCAGGAGTGCAGTGGAGGATGGCCCAAGTGCTTAGGCCCTGCACCCGCATGGGAGACTAGGAGAAGCACCTGGCTCCTGGCTTTGGATCAGCGCAGCGCTGGCCGTAGCATCCATTAGGGGAGAGAACCAACGGAAGGAAGACCTCTCCCTCTGTCTCTGTCTCTAACTCTCTCACTGTCTAACTGCCTGGCAAAAAATAAAAAAAAAGTTTACCCCTCCAACAGTACTTTTGTCGTCATGCAGGTCTCTTTATTAAAGAGTATCACCCACATAGCAGAGCTGGCTTACTCTTTGCCCAGCTGCATTTTATTTTCCCTCTCTCCCTACTACTGCCCCAACTTCCCACATGAAAACACACTTAGAGCTGCAGAGGTACAAAAGTATACTCTGGAAATATATGGGTCTGCTCTCTCTGGCATGGACTAAGGTCTGGTTTGTAAACTTCAGTACAAAGAATGAAGTACATTCACGCTACAGAGCAACACTTCCAAATGTCATCATTAACTTTCATAGTTATTTGGCTTTATAATTTCCATATCCATAGTAAAAATCATAAATACATTCGTCCTTATATCTTTAGTGCCTTGTTCCCTCACGATCTGAAAAAGGCAAAGGTAAGTATACTGCAGCACTTTGTCTCTGCAACTAAAGACTCTGATATTTAAATATAAGAAGGACTGGGTTTTTTGCTTAAAAAGGCAGACTAATTTGCTGGCCATAGGATTTTCCTAGGAACTTCTACCAGATTCATGCTTTGGAATGACCTCAACAATTGCCAGTGCCTGCAGCTAGGAAACAAAAGAAAAAGCTGTCACCACATAACTCCACATTTCCATATTTTTATTGTGGTCATGAAAATGAGACTTATTATTTTTAAACACACACACATACATACACTCATTCATGAATGTGCAGCCACTACTGGACAGCATTTGTAGCAAAGCACCTCATCATCCTATGTTCCAACATTAATCATTGATCTCTTGATTTTATTTCTTCCTCCATGCAAGAATGCAGGTTAGGAATTGTGTGTAAGGAACAAGTACCTTACACTAATGAAAACTGATTTCTTCCCTGGATATGACCAACCTCAACATATGAGCCCTGTGCTAGAAGCAAGTCTTTCATGGTATTGGGAATTAATTTAAATCTGTAAAGTGGAATCCCTTTGTAACAAGGCTACTAATCCTGCACTCCTATTACCAATCAGACAAGGTATACTAGCAGTTTTGGTTTGTTCATTTTCAAAATCGGTTTTTCACTAGGTTCCAAAGGATCTGGTTTAAGCCACAGGTATCTGAACCATGTAATAAAAGAACCAAGATGTAATGAAATTCTCTTGTTCTTAGAAGACTGCTGTTTCTCTCCATGAGAAAAACATTCTATTGTGAAACTTTGAGATGAATCCAAATTCACATTTTTCCTTCTCCCATATGTGTTTAACAAGTTATTAAACAAACTAGGCATTTCACCTAAAAATAAAGCAAGACAAAAAGTCAAATACACTTCATTATACACACTCACAAAAAAGACATACAACTATGAAAGTCATAACTCATTTATTGAATGAATAGTATATGCAAGAATACCAATAAAAGGAAACAAATACTACAAACTACAATCTTGAAAATAAAGCCAATATAACAGGAACAAAATATACAAACATGAGAGGAATGTTTGATACTTGACCCAGGATGCATTCCTTATCTTTACAATTAACCTAAATGTCTGTTAGAACAAAACTGTATGCCTTGGTCAAACTTTAGTGCTTTTTAAAAAAGCAACAACACTCTAGAACACTTTGTCTTTTGCTTTGAGATATTTGAGATTCACACATCTGTTCAAGTACATAGAATCAGCATCAATAGTAGACCTATAAAACTTATTACTCCTTTAATGTCTTGAGTAGCACGTATTTCAGAGCAAGTACTGTCTGAAACTCTAAAATCGCTCTTCTTGAAATAAAATTTATTTCAGTTGTGGGTTTTTAATTAATTGAGATGAAAGTAAAATTCCCCACCACCCCTCCCCCCAGGAACAAAGAGCTCTTATTAAAGTATAGAAACTCAAGTCTACCTTTCTACTCTAAAGAACATTTCTTACTAACATTTCTGGTAAGGCAATAAATGCTCCAGAATAATCTTCAGTATACGCTTGCAAAGATTACACTGTTTAATATCAATAACAAAAAAAAAAAAAAACAAAAACAAAAACAAAAAAAGAAAAAGAAAAAAAAAGGAAGAAAAGACGCTTCAAAATTTCAGGCTAAAATATGCATAAAAGACATTAATGGCAGTATTTCTGAAATGATGTAAATGTCATATACTTATCAAATGTCATGCTTATTAAAACTACAGTTAAGGACTTAAGAGATGTACAGTAAATACACTGCTGAGGTCCATTTTTCTAAATATTAATACCACAATGTAATTACTACCCAGAAGATGATGATGCTACTTGGGAACAGAAGTACTGTACAATTTTTACATTGTAAGGCACTTTTACTCAGCATGTGACGAAAACATGGATAGAGAATCAATATATTGGAGATTTACAACCAAAGATGATTTCTCATGTGACTTCCATTTACATTTCCATTTTGTAATGAAAGATGATTTAGCCAATCACACCACAGTGAGGAAAACAGGTAGTCAGCCACTTGTCTAGCCAACCAAAAGGTAAAGTGCTATTCTGGTTGCTAGTGGCAGAGAAAGGGCTGAAAAAAGCCATACAAAGTCATACATTTTACTACATAACAAATCCATCAACTGACAGCTTATAGTATTTGAAGTCCTTTACATAATTATTGACTGGCCATGATTACCCCCTGGGCACCTTCCATTTTCCCTAAAAAAGTCATTACAGTAGTTGTCCAAAAATGAAGGAGCTCTGTTTCTCCATGGGTAAATTCTATGGCACACAATATACAAATGATGTAGACACAGTGATCTAAAGATTTAAAAAAACAATGGTTTTCAAGCTGTTGTAAGGAAATAAAGTACAGATCCTTTGGGAAAAGTCACATAGCTTGGTAAACAAACATCTAGATCTGTCCTTGCACTTCAAGTCATGATGAATTTTGAAAATTAATCACATACACATGACAGCATAGTAAGAGCAAAAGGATAAAACATACAGGGCAACCCACTACTAAAGCTAGTTTCCTTCTAAAAATAATAATATAATGTGGTTAAAATAAAGCAAGCATTGAGTCCCTTGTTTTACATAGATGTGTGAATACACACTTTACAAATATGGTTTTAAGGGACTAGCAGTTTAAAAATTCAGTCATTAAGCACAGTGTAATTTTCCACCTGTTAACGTTTTCAAAATGCTGTTCTATCAGCGGCAGACTATTTCAATGTACAGTCTAGTTAACATGGTAATTTCTTATTTGCAAATCTGCTTTGTTGTGGAAGAGTAACTAACAATCCAAAAATCAAATTCCTACCCTTGGTACTGAGGTGCTATGGTACTATCAGGCAGATCACAACTGAAGTTTTTTGGTTTTACCATAAAGAAATATATAAATGCGCTTCAGCAGGTAAGTAGAAGAAAATATCACAAGCTAGAAATACCGGTGTGAAAATCCTTTCTAAAAAGCTGGGTTCTTAGGCTTTCATACACAATTCTGATGATCAATAAAATACTAAGCCCTACCAGGAGAGAAGCAGGGCACAAAAGCCTGTTTAACAGATAACCAAAGCAATGACTGAAAACATTACAAATATTAAATAAGGTTTCTAAAATAGTGGTCACAAAGTTAAAAAATAAATACTGTTCTATGCAAAGACTGTTTTTCACTCCTACAGCACACAACACCTCCTTACACACTTTGGGCCAATATGTGAAGTGTTCCACACAACAGGGCACTTGAGAGGAACAGGTTTCAGACATGGTGTCTCGAGTCCTTAGAGAGTGGTAACCCTTTAAATCTTAAAGAAATTTAATTTGCTGTTGCCAAACATTACTTTAAACTTGAAAGGATTCAATCATTTTGCCAGAAGCTCTCTGCACGACATGGAAAGAGAAGAGGTGTACAGTCAAGAGAATTTTGGCATAAGCACTGGAGCTAATAGCTTATAATCAGCAGTTGCCCAAGTCCGAGCTGATCAGGGAGAACAACTTTAACAGGAACCCAATGAAAAGCTTCAGCACACTTCTTGGATGAGATTTTTAGTATGTGCTGGCAAAGCCAAGAGAAAAAGAAAAGTTCTCTTCAGTTTTAGCCTCCGTTACTTGAGTGTGGAAAAAAAAATATCCACAAATCACGTGTTGCCCCTAGCGCATGTTTGCATTGTAAAGTAAAATCTGCTTATGCCTTCCCTTGAGCATCAATCCACTAAACAAACTCAAACACTCTAAACGGCAGAAATTTGTTCAGTCCAGAAATATAGCTTACTCCATTCGAGGCCCACTTTAACTGTTGACACTATACACAGGGTTAATAGTGTTTCAACTGTGTCCCAGAAACTGCAAGCTACAGCTATGTAATATCAACACGTCAAACTCAGCCGTCTAGCGAAGGCTCATAAAACGAACAAGATGATTTTAGGCAGTTCAATGAAGGATCTAAGAGTTGGGCAGTAAAAAGTTACAAACCCTTTTTGATTTTAGAAAACAGTGAAAAAAAGAATAGTAGTTATGGATGTCTTATTCATTCCCAGTTTTCTAACTCTGTCCCATGAACCTGTTTAAAAGATGATAAAGAAATGTAAAATATGATGCTTGGGGGGAATATAATCAACATAATGTTATTGAGGAGTGAGAATATATTATCGATTTGACATTAAAACTACATCTATTGATAAAGTAGATAGCTTGTGTTAACAGTTACAAAACTGGCTAGTCAAAAAAAAAAAGAAAAAACTAGGCAAGCCTACACAATCCTCAGCATTCCAGTCACATGCTCTTAACTAAACATAATAGGATTTAAAGATCTTACTGTATACCATTACTTCAACATGTATCTATCAGTGTGTACTGTGTCCTGACTACAGATCTCATATAATTAGCTTTCATACCTAGTTTCCATTAAGTTGCTGCTGAGTTAGTTGCTGCTGATCAATTTCTATTTTTCCCCGGCTTTTACTCTCTCGTTCCTCATCTTCTTCATCTCTTTCATCGTTTCCACTATGGTTTTTACAATACAGTCTACGACGATAAAAGAGAAAAAAAAAACCTCAAAATGCTTTGTCATTGTTGATGAGAATACATTTATGCCATCCTTGGTGGATGAGGTTGGTGCTCATTTCAAATATGTTTCCTCATTCACACTTAAAAATACTCCACAAACAGTTACAAGTCCATTTCTATCTAAAAGACAGGAAAGCACACTAGTATTGAGATAATATTGGAAACAAAATCTCCAGTGGAAGATGACAGTTACAAGGCACTTCTTCATTCCACCTAACGAGCTTAAAAGCAAACGTTTCTGGCCAACTTGAAAAAAATATTAACTTTGAGGTACACAGATTAAATAAACAACTTTTAAATTTATTATATATAACCTAGAATCACATGTCTGGAAATGCATTCTTTATTTACTGCTGCTTTCTGCTTCACATTTCATGAAATAATTTTACTCAAACTCTTCAAATGCCCTTCCACCTTCACTGTACTAAAACACGTTCATGAACCAGTGAACAGTATGACACTTGGCTATGCCTGCCCTGATCTACACTGATCCTTCCAATTTCTTTTCTATCACTGACGTTTTGGGACAAGATCATATCAGACAGCTTGTCATGTGTGCCATATTCAAGATTCACCTAAATCTGGTAGTTTCATTTGCTTTCCTTTCACTACCTATAAACTGGAGATAAAGTCTAAGGGCTTGGTTAGCTTTTAGGTTCGACTTTTTCAATGTGCCCCCACAAGATGCCATGGTTAATCATATGATGAAGATGGTAGTTAGATGGCCAGATTTCTCCACAGTAAAGGTAGGTTTGACCTTTTAAAACTAACAATTGTTGGAGTGACACTTTGACATCACACTGTTCAAATAACCTTTTTCCTTAAGGATTTATTTGAAAAGCAGAGTGACAGAGTGAGAGACAGATTCTTCCATCTGCTGGCTCACTTTCCAAATGTCTTTAATAGCTGGAGCTGTACCAGGTTGAAGCCAGGAGCCAGGAACTCCATCAGGGTCTCCTACGTTTGTGGTTCAAGTACCTGAGCCCTCATCTGCTGCCTCCAAGAAGCAGAGGAGCTGGGACTCACTCGCACACCCCAATATGGGATGTGGGCGTTGAAAGAAGCAGCTTTACTGACTGAGTCACAACACCTATCGCCAAACATCGTTTGAGTAAAAACACCGTATATTTGAAATCCAGTTTTTAATTAGAAAAACAAAAGGTAGGCGATTTTTGGAGAAGCTGGAGTATTTTGAGCTCAGTTGTATGTCAATTATAGACAAAATGACAGTGGAACAATGCTTAGAAAATGTTCACTGGATGCCCTCTTGTGGTCAGTAATGTCTAAAAATGATCAATCCAGGAAATCACACATCACAAACAGTTGATCTAAACCAGACCTAACATTAAGGAAATAAAAAGGCAGGACTGGAGTTGAGAACAACAACTGACTTCAGTCTAGTGTTGCTCATTTTTTTTTGTTCTTAAAGCATTTTCAGGGGCCGGCACCGTGGCTCACTTGGTTAATCCTCTGCCTGCGGTGCCGGCATCCCATATGGGCACTGGGTTCTAGTCCCGGTTGCTCCTCTCCTCTTCCAGTCCAGCTCTCTGCTATGACCTGGGAGGGGAGTGGAGGATGGCCCAAGTGCTTGGGCCCTGCACCTGCATGGGAGACCAGGAGGAAGCACCTGGATCCTGACTTCGGATGGGCATAGCTCCGGCTATGGTGGTCATTTGGGGAGTGAACCAACGGAAGACCTTTCTCTCTGTCTCTCTCTCACTAACTCTATCTGTCAAATAAATAAATTTTAAAAAAAAAAGCATTTTCAATAACTTTCACAGATCTGGGAAGGATTTATACTCTTCAAATGCTGTCCATTGGAAACAATTTTTGTTATAGAAATAAAGAAAAATCGGGGCCAGTGCTGTGGTTCAGCAATTAAGCCGCTGCCTGCAGCACCAAATCCCGTGTGGGCGCCAGTTCAAGTCCTGGCTGCTCCACTTCCTGTCCAGCTCCCTGCTAATGTCCTAGGGAAGCAGCAGAGGATGGCCCAAGTGCTTGGGTCCTTGCACCCATGTGGGAGACACAGATGAAGCTCCTTTTTCCTGGCTTTGGCTTGGCCCCAGCCCTGGCCATTGCGGCCATTTGGGGAGTGAACCAGCGGATTGAAGATCTCTATCTCTCCTTTTCTAACTCTCTTTCAAAAATAAATATTCCAAAAACAGAAAAAAAAATCATGGCTCAATACTAGGGTCCCCAGCTTCAGTCTGACATTCCAGGAGTAAATCAAAAGATGGACAATTTCTGTCTGTGCCTTTCAACTAAACTAAAATAAAAGAGTGGAATTCCTAGCACAACTCATGAAGCATTTTTCCCTAAAAATGCAACCTGAATCTAATTAAACTTCTGAACCAACTGATAAGGAAATATGGGGAAGACAGTATAGATGCAAGTTAAACTGCACCATGAAATCACAAACTGACAAATTTGGGATGTACATCTTTTATAGGTATGGGATGCCAGCATTGCAAGCAGTGATTTAACCCACTACACCACAATGCTGGCCCCAAGGTCAAAGGTTTTGACTTAACAAGATCCCTGTTGTCACAGAACTCACTTTAAGAAACTACATATATATGTACATATGTATGTATATACGTATGTATTTGAGAGGTAGAAAGACAAACCAATCTCTCATCTACTGGTTCACTCCCAAATGCCTACCAATCGAGAGGGCTGGGACAGGCCAAGGTCAAGAACTCATTCTGGGTCTCCCACATGGGTGGTAACAACACAACTACTTTGAACCACCATCACCTGCTGTCTCCTAGGGTCTAGAATCAAGAGGAGCTGGGACTCAAACCCAGATACTCTTCTATGGGATACAGGCATCTCAAGTAGTGTCTTAAACTACTAGGCCAAATGCCCACCCCTGAAGAAATAACATTTTTAAAAAATGGACATGGGGCCGGCGCTGTGGTGCAGCGGGTTAACACCCTGGCCTGAAGCGCTGGCATCCCATATGGGCGCTGGTTCTAGTCCTGGCTGCTCCTCTTCCCATCCAGCTCTCTGCTGTGGCCTGGGAAAGCAGTAGAAGATGGCCCAAGTCCTTAGGCCCCTGCACCTGCATGGGAGACCTGGAAGAAGCTCCTGGCTCCTGATCAGCCCAGCTCTGGCTGTTGCGGCCATCTGGGGAGTGAACCAGAGGATGAAGACCTTTCTCTCTGTCTCTCCCTCTCACTGTCAGTAACTCTACCTCTCAAATAAATAAACAATCTTTAAAAAATGGACAGTACAGGATTAACATACATAAAAATCATTTATACATTCCTGCCTCATTTTTTTTAATATGAATATGTCAAGATCCAGAAAAGGCCGGTAAGGATGGAAAGCCACATTTAGGAGATAGAGAAGCCACTTTATTCAGAAATATTTCTCCTTGCATTTTCTTCTGTTTGTTCATTCTTCTGTTCCCAAACTAGTCACAGATGGAATCTCATTTGAACTCAAAGGCCTCTCTATCAGGAGCCCACATAATAAGCTGATTTTAGAAACACATTTCAGGCCGGTGCCGTGGCTCACTTGGCTAATCCTCCGCCTGCAGCGGCCGGCACCCCGGGTTCTAGTCCCAGTTGTGCTGCCGTATTCTGTCCCTGTTGCTCCTCTTCCAGTCCAGCTCTCTGCTGTGGCCTGGGAAGGCAGTGGAGGATGGCCCAGGTCCTTGGGCCCTGCGCAAGCATGGGAGACCAGGAGGAAGCACCTGGCTCCTGCCTTCGGATCGCTGCAGCGTGCCGGCTGTAGCGGCCATTAGGGGGGTGAACCAACAGAATGGAAGACCTTTCTCTCTGTCTCTCTCTCTCTCACTAACTCTGCCTGTCAAAAAAAAAATAATAATAAAAAATAAAAAGATAAAGAAACACATTTCAATGTGAAAAGCAAAAAGAAGCCGGCGCCACGGCTCACTAGGCTAATCCTCCACCTTGCGGCGCCGGCACACCGGGTTCTAGTCCCGGTTGGGGCGCCGGATTCTGTCCCGGTTGCCCCTCTTCCAGGCCAGCTCTCTGCTGTGGCCAGGGAGTGCAGTGGAGGATGGCCCAAGTGCTTGGGCCCTGCACCCCATGGGAGACCAGGGGAAGTACCTGGTTCCTGTCATCGGATAAGCGCGATGCGCCGGCCGCAGCGGCCATTGGAGGGTGAGCCAACGGCAAAGGGAAACCTTTTTTTCTGTCTCTCTCTCACTGTCCACTCTGCCTGTCAAAAAATAAAAAAAAATTTTTAAAAAAATAAAAAAAGGCAAAAAGAGCAATTCAAATCACCATGCATCCTAGTGCAAATATTTTTGTTTAGAGATGGTCACTGAAACATGATTTTCTAATAGCTACAACGTAAAAAAAAAAAAAAAAAACAAAAAAAAAACCACTAAGTATCTAGAAAAGGAACCTATAAAGCAAATTGATATTGCCATGCAATGGAATCCCATGCAACAATTAAAGCAGATATAAAACTGCTAAGTGTCCAGGAAAAAATGTCTCAGATATAGTAAATAGAAAACAGATTATGAAACAGAATATATAAGAATACTTTGTTTTCATAGATAGACATGTATACATAATCACACAAATGTCTAGAAGAAAACATCCCAAATGATTTAAAATTGTTACCTCTGCATAGAATTAAAATTGACATGAAGTTTCTTTTCTTTTCTATACTTTCTTTTTCCAAAAATGAAAATAGGTAATTACAAATTAGCTAAAATTAAATATTTAAATAATTCTCTATATAATCTTAGCTATTTAATATGGGTCTGTGATTAAAATTGTTAATGGTTACTTCACATAATAATGTAGTGCTTGTGAAATATTTAATAACCATGAATTCATACAATGGAGAATACAAATTTGCCTCTTTTCTCCTCTATCCCTATGTAACTACTGGGAGGTAATGAGCATCAAAAGTTTGCTGAACGTTCCTAGAGATTTTCCTACATACACAAAAGCACATATGCACATACATGGAGGTATGTTCCAAGCATAGTTGAGCACAGCGATGGTAACCTGGGACTCTGGTGTTACTGACAAACTGCCTACTATGTATTTGCAGTGCTTTCTTCTGTATGTCTTTTAGGAGGGAAATCATCCTCTATATTAAGATTTCTCTCACATCACATCAGATAAATCTAATCAGAAATGGAAAATTATACCGTATTTACTCTTCTAGATAAAATCGTCAGTAACTGAAATTAATTAAAATTAAATTTGTACATTAATTTGATGAGAGTAGGTATCTTTCAATACTGAGTTTCTCTATCAAGGAACATAATACATTTCATCAACCATCTGAGTCCTTTACAAAATGTCACCTAAAAAAGATTTATTTATTTATTTATTTGAAAGGCTGAGTCAGACAGAGAGAGAGAGAGGGAGACAGATCTTCCATGCACTGGTTCACTGCCCAGATGGCCACAATGACCAGGCCAAAGCCAGGAGCAACATCAGGTCTCTCACATGGGTGCAGGGGCCCAAGTATTTAAGCCATCTTCTGCTGCTTTCCCAGGCACATTAGCTGGGAGCTGGATTGGAAGTGAAGCAGCTGAGAATTGAACCAGCACCCATATGGGATGCCAGCATTGCAGGCAGTGGTTTTAGCTGCTACTCCACAGTACCAGTCCTAAAATGTCATTGTTTCTAAAGACAGAAAAGGTTCACCTTTACTGTGTGTGTTTGTGTGTGTGTGTATGGGAGGTGATGGGCATTTTTTTTAATGACTAGTTATTACAGGAATTTTTTTTTAAAGTTATCTCATATTCAGCAATCTTACTGAACTCCTATTAATTTTAATAAATTCAGAGTTGACTCCTTTGGGTTTTCTTGAAAGACAATGATAAAAATATTGATTATTTTATTTGTTAGACATTTTTCTTTCATTTTTTGTTTCACTGGCTTAATCCTCTGGAAGAATGTAGGTAGTTGGTGCCTTTGTCTTGTTCCTAATCTGAATGAAAGCATATTTAGTTGAACAGTTCTCAGAGATGAATTAAGAATTACCTGGGCAGTCATCAAAATACAGTTTGGGCCTCAACTAAGATGTACTGAATTTCCATCTCTGAGGGTAGGGTTCAGGCATGGACATTTTTATTTATTTTTAAAGATTTATTTATTTGTTTTGAAAGTCAAGAGTTACAAAGAGAGAGATCTTCCATCTACTGGTTCACTCCCAGATGGCAGCAATGGCCAGTGCTGGGCAAGGCCAAAGCCAGGAGCTTCCTCTGGGTTTCCCATGTAGGTGCAGGGGCCCAAGCAATTGAATCATCTTCCACTGCCCTCCCAGGCACATTTGCAGGGAGCTGGATTGGAAACAGAGCAGCTCAGACAGGAACTGGTGCCCATATGGGATGCTGGCATCAGAGGCAGAGGCTTTACCTGCTACACCACAACACTGGCCTTGGCATGGACATTTTTAAAGAGGGCTCTATCTACCTCCAGGTGATTCTGAGGCTCATCCCTGTTTAAAACCACTGATTCTTTATTTTAACACTAAGCAAACTAACTGTTGTTTTCCCATAAACACTCTATTAAAAGCTTCCTAGCTTGCTAATGGTACTTTAAAATCCAGAAATTGATAGTGTATATTATCAAATGTTTTTTCACCATTCATCAAGCAGGCAATAAGATTTTTCTTTGTTAATTATAACAGATCACATTAATATATTTCCTAGTTTTGAACAGTCTTTAAATTCTAATCCAGAGGTGATTTTGAGTAATTTTAAGATTTTTGTACATATATATTTATAAAGTGAAACTGGTCTTCAGTTTGGTTTTTCTTTTATTGTATCTGTAAGGTTTGGTATCACATTTATGCAAGCTTCACAGAATGAACCAATGAATTTTCCATCTCTTGCCATGTGCTGGACCTCTTTAAATAACATTGGGATTATCTGTTCCTTAAAGGCTTGACTGAACTCAACTGAGAAGTATTTATGCCTTGATTGCTAAGTAGGATTTGGTAAATTTTATAACATTAGCATCCTACATGGTGCTGCCCACTGCTGACTTGCTGAGTGTTTTTGTCAGCTGTTTTTCACACAGAATTGTAGGACCTAAAATCACTGGGTTCTTGCATTCCAGGCATGTCAGAGTAAGTGCTTTACAACTCTCAAGGCAAATGAAAAGTTCAGGGATCCCAACCAAATTATCCTCCATTTGCTTAAACAAACAGAACTATTAAGGCAATATACTGACATCACTACCCTAAGGCAGCACAAGTAAGTGGAAGACAGTGGCATGCAATCCCAAATACCCATTCCTTACTCTTCCATCATCTTCCAAAGAGAATCTTTTGCCTTCTATCTTCACAACTACATCCTATTCTAAGCTACCAACAATTTGCACTTGAACTACCAGCAACAGCCTCCAAATTAATCTCTTCATTTCTACTCTTGCTTCTGTCCTACCTGAAGGTCAAGATTTATTTACTTCAAAGACAGAGTGACAAAGAGAGTGGGACAGACAGTGAGAGACTTACATTGGTTCACTCCCTAAGTGGCTGCAATAGCCAAGGCCAAACCAGGCTGAAGTCAGAGATCAGGAATCCCTGGGTAGCTGAGGCCCAAGCACCTGAACCATCTTCTGCTGCCTTCCCAGGAATATTAGTAGATTGGAAGTGGAGGGGCTGGGGCTGTAAAGCAGTGGGTTAAAGCCCTGGCCTGAAGCACCAGCATCCCATTTGGGTACTGGTTCTAGTCCCGGCTGCTCCACTTTCAATCCAGCTCTCTGCTATGGCCTGAGAAAGCAGTGGAAGATGGCCCAAGTGCTTGGGCCCCCACACCCACGTGGGAGACCCAGAGGAGGCTCTTGGCTCCTGGCTTTGGATTGGCGCGGCTCCGGCCGTTGCAGCCATCTCGGGAGTGAACCAGCAGATGGAAGACCTCTCTCTCTGTCTCTACCTCTCTCTGTAACTCTTTCAAATAAATAAAATAAATCTTAAAAAAAAAAAGGTAGTGGAGCAGCTGGGACTTGAACCTGGACTCTGATATGCAAGTCCAGCATTGTACACAGCAGCTTAACTCATGGTACCCAAATGCCAGCCTCCATATCTTTTAACTTTTTAAGAGCAATTATGTAGTTTGTATATTTATTTGCCTGGCTATTTAATTAATAGATCTATCCTACTAGACTATAAGTTTCATGAGGACACAGTCTATCTCTGTTTTGGTCAATAGTGTATACCCAGCTCCTAGTACAATGCCTGCCCTAGCAAGCATAATACTGCATGAATGAATTTTAATCCAAGGACATATAGTCAGGGGAAAATGCAAACTGCACTACTTATTCCTTTAATAATATCCTCAGTATTCTATACTTGACTAAAGACCATCTAAGAATAGAAATCAAGTGAATGAATGCCATGTATTTAAGCATAGTTACTTACTGACATATTTATGAAAATGGACAATTGTTGTTTTCTTACTTGTAAATTCCTCGTGACATATTTTCAATGTATTTAGCTTTGTCTTGTACTCCACAGTGGTAATGGTAAGTCTTAACACAGGCTTTTATTTCACATCCAATAGTAGCACCGGGCTGACTGCAAAGTGTACATTTCTGTTTAAAGAAAGAGGAAGAATAATTGTAAGCAGCATTCTAAAGTTGAGGCTTTCTTACTCTATTTTTGACATATTTTAGCCAAGCATTCCAGTTTACAAAGCAAATAGGAGCCATTTTCCATCAAAAAGGGCACATTAAATTTATTATATAGCATATAATTAAAATAATACTACAATATAAACCATACTTTGATAAACCTTTGAATATTACACCATCTCCTGATGTTTCCACCATTTAACATCTGGAATATGCCAGCCTGTTGGGAAAACTACACCACTCATCAGATCTCACATTTAAATCTAAACAAGATACTCCTTAATGCTGTTAGATACAAAAGTAGAATGGTATTGTGTATTTCAATGGTTGACTTTGTTTCTTCCCTGATATCAGATCCCTTCCTATTATAATTGGGGGAAAGAATAAGAAAACAGGAAAGTACCCCCCTCTTCCCAAAGAGATCACTACCAAGGAGGCAAAAGGGCAGAGGGAAACTAAAAGAGCTGAAATCTTTTTCAAGACTTCTCAGTTTGGCCTAGTTCAGCCTTGCCTACAGAATGTTCTTAGATGAAAACATGTCTGTTGAAAAGGGGGTTTCATGGTCAAATAAGTCTAAGAAAAGTTAGGCTAAGAAGCCTTTTCTCCAGGAATGGGGGTTTTGGTACAGAGTTTTCAAGTTTATTGAAAACTTAGATGACCTTGTATTTTTTGAGGGGTGGGAGACTATTTTTGGCATATTTGTGGGAAGTGTTATGTCACTGTTTACCCTTCAAAAGTACAGGGGAAAAAGTGATCAAGAGAACCGAATGGTTATTCTAGTCATCTATTCTGACTTCAGCTATATGATACAACAGTATTCTGCATGATACGGTGAAGTGATTTTTCCTTTTTTAGTACTACAGGTTCTGTTATAAATGAGTTTCATTTTTAAAACAGTAATCAAAGTACCAATAAACTTGACTGGAACTAAATGGAATAGATCACATCAGTAACTTTCATACCATCAAAAAGAAAGGGTCGTTTTTAATGGATTTAGACAAAGGCTTTTACTGTTTTGAAAACATTATATGAGAGTTTGAAAGGGAACTTCACAAAAAAGAGGGAGGACAGACTGCCTTAGATTATTTAAGGGATACAGAAATATAAAAACAAATGTAGGCCAGCATCGTGGCTCACTAGGCTAATCCTGCGCCTGCGGCGCCAGTACTCCAGGTTCTAGTCCCGGTTGCTCCTCTTCCAGCCCAGCTCTCTGCTGTGGTCCGGGAAGGCAGTGGAGAATGGCCCAAGTGCTTGGGCCCTGCACCTGCATGGGAGACCAGGAGGAAGCACTTGGCTCCTGGCTTCAGATCGGTGCAGTGTGCCGGCCGTAGCGGCCATTTGGGGGGTGAACCAACGGAAGGAAGACCTTTCTCTGTCTCTCTCTCTCTCTCACTAACTCTACCTGTCAAAAACAAAACAACAACAACAACAACAACAAAAATGTAATGTGTGTTCCTTCTGTGGATCCTGACTCATACGAATTGACCTTGCAGAGATGGTTTTGAGACAGCTGACAGAAAACAAACATAAATTGAGTATTAAATAAATGACACTAAGAAATTACTGTTAATTAATAAGGTGTAATGACACTGTAGTTAGATGAGGAGAAGTCCAGTTTTTAAAAGACATATATTGAGAGGGCCAGTGCTGCAGCACAGCAGATAAAGCTGCCAACTGCAGTGCCGGCATCCCATATGGGTGCGGGTTCGAGTCCCTGCTGCTCCACTTCCAATCCAGCTCTCTGCTATGGCCTGGGAAAGCAATGGAAGACGCCCCAAGTCCTTGGGCCCCCGCACCCACATGGGAGACCTGAAGGAAGCTCCTGGCTCCTGGCTTCGGATTGGCAAACTCAGGATTAGCTTTGCATTGGAAGCTCCAGCCACTGCGGCCAATTGGGGAGTGAACCAGCGGATGGAAGACATTTCTCCCTGCCTCTTCTTTTTTCTCTAACTCTTTCAAGTAAATAAACATCTTTAAAAAAAAGATATATACTGAAATGATATGAAGTCTTACCTCTGCTTTAAAATACAACAAGCAACATGAATAAAAGGCATAAATGAAAAAGTGCTACAGTTTATGGCAAATGATGAACTGAAGGTGATGGATGATTTTATAACAAAAATTCAAAAATTAAAAGTTGTTTCTAGAAATAAGTGCTGTGTTAAGGAAAACACTTTGCACTCCATTGACATTTTATAATATTTATAAGCTTTAAGGGAGTAAGTGATCCCTAAAAGTGCCAATGTTTCTCAAAGCCACTGATCAGTCGTTCAGAATGTTTAAAAACATGACACTAGGGAGCTGTTGTCATAGAGCAGTGGGCTAAGCTGCCACCTGTGACGCGGGTATCCCATATGGGTACCAGTTCAAGTCCTGAATGCTCCACTTCTGACCCAGTTCCAAACTAGTGTGCCTGAGAAGGCAGCGGATAACAGCCCAAATGCCTGGGCTCCTGCCACCCATGTGGGAAACCTGGATGGAGTTCTAGGCTCCTGGTTTTGGCCTGGTCCAGCCCAGGGCCGTGCCCAGGCCATTGTGGCTACTGGGGGAGTAAAGACAGCAGATGGAAGATCCCTGTCTCTCCCTCTCTCTGTAACTCTGCCTTTGAAATAAATAATTTTTTTTGACAGGCAGAGTGGACAGGGAGAGAGAGACAGAGAGAAAAATCTTCCTTTTTGCCATTGGTTCACCCTCCAATGGCCGCCACAGCTGGCGCGCTGCGGCCGGCGCACCGCGCTGATCCGAAGGCAGGAGCCAGGTGCTTCTCCTGGTCTCCCATGGGGTGCAGGGCCCAAGCACTTGGGCCATCCTCCACTGCCTTCCTGGGCCACAGCAGAGAGCTGGCCTGGAAGAGGGGCAACTGGGACAGAATCCGGTGCCCCGACCGGGACTAGAACCCGGTGTGCCAAGGCTGTAAGGCGGAGGATTAACCTAGTGAGCCGTGGCGCCGGCCTGAAATAAATAATCTTTAAAACATAATAAAAATAATAAAAACAGACTAAGGCACATTTTATAAAGAAAACTTTAAAGCTATGATAAACATTTTAAGACATAACTGTTTATATGTACTTCAAACCTAAAGCCTTAAAAATCTTTTTCTTTTATGTAAAAAGAAAACGATTAACACAGATTCTCAAAGCTCTATTAGGTTTATGAAATTCTTCTTTAAGCATGATTATACAATATAACATTTTATGCTTGACAATGTTTATCACATCCATATCTTCACTCATTTTATCAAAGGGCTTACAACTACCTTGAAATATAAATCGTTAGTGTAATTCATAATTCTCTTTAGAAATGATGTTAATTCGAAAAAGGAGTAAGTTTCATAATATCAGTATCCGTTATTACACTATAAATAAGTCAAACGTACACTTTGTTTAACATACGAACTATTTTATATTAAATTTTTGATGACTTGATAAATTTGAGATGTGTTCTATATTTAAAGCAGAGTTAAGAGTAATGCTGCATAACATAAGTTTAAAAACCACAGACCATTCTTTTTCCTCGCTTAATCTCTTGAAGAACAGTTTTGATATCAAAGTCTCCAAATTCTGCTCTTGATGTTGTCGTGAGCTGAACTGTTCCAGAAGAAAACAACTAGAGAAGAGAAATGCAGGAACATTAACAGAGCTCTTATGAGAAAAAAATTAAACAAGATAATAACAAATGTGTTATATTAATTTTCTAAGATGATATTCCTGAATAATCAAGTACTAACTCCAATTATTTTTAATATATTCACATCATTAAAATACAACTCAAAGACAATAAAATAAAACTAAGATTGCCAGCATGAGCTAAGATTAAATACATTTCTTCAAACAATGAAGATTTCAACAATATTCTATCATCTCAACTGCTTTACATTTCTTTTAAAAAATAGCTTACATTGGCACATTTCAATTACAGATGCAGATCAGAACCACACTGTTTTTTCAAAACAGTCATGTTTGGGAGCCACTCCATGGGTACCCTAAGTGCATATATTTTGGCAAAAGCTTCCCAGGTAAATCTCATATGCCCTCTAGTTAAGAATCTATAAAATGGGGTGAGTGTTGTGGTACAATTGGTCCTAAATCAGAGGGCCAGTTCAGTCCTGGTTATTCCCATTTCCAATTCAGCTTCCTGTTAATGTGCATCTTGTGAGGCAAAGAGGGCCCAAGTGCTCAGGTCCCTGCCACCCTTGTGGGAAACCTGAATGGAGTTTCTGGCTCCTGGCTTCGGCCTGGCCCAGCCTTGGATGTTGTGGGCATTTGGGGAGTGAACCAGTGGATAAAAGATCTCTGTTTGTTTCTTTCTCTCTCTTTACTCTGTGGATCTGCCTTTCAACTAGATGAAGATAAATATTTTTCAAACAAATCTATGGTACAAATAATGCAATTTTATAAACTTGGTCATAAAATGGGTAAGTAATCCAATATAACCTAACTCAAAAACATTTATGTGTAATATAAGTCAGGCCTGGATCTAAGCTTGCAAAGATAAAAACTTATCCTCATTTCATTCTTATCCTCAAGGAATTAAGAGTCTATTAGAGAAGATAGGGTCATAAATAAATAATTGTTAATCAGTATGTTAGGCACAATAATAGAAGTATTTATTAAGTTACAGTAGAGGCCTAAAATATCTTTCATAAAATGTTGAAATTTTTAGTTATGAAATAAATTATGAATTATTTTGAATATGGTAACTATAATTAGGACTATGTCAAATGCTACAAAAACATGAAGACAATTATTTTTGAAAATATGAAGTTTATTAAGATTTGGGAGGGCCAGCACTGTGGCGTAGCAGGTAAAGCCACCGCCTGCAGCGCCGGCATCCCATATGAGTGCCAGTTTGAGTCCCGGCTGTTCCACTTCCGATCCAGCTCTCTGTTATGATCTGGGAAAACAGCAGAAGATGGCCCAAGTCTTTGGGCCCCTGCACCCACATGGGAGACCCGGAAGAAGCTCTTGGTTCCTGGCTCCTGGTTTCAGATTAACGCAGCTCCAGCCACTATGGCCAACTGGAGAGTGAACCAGCAGATGGAAGACCTTTCTCTCTCTGCCTCTCCTTCTCTAACTTTCAAGTAAAATAAATCTTTTAAAAAAAGATTGGACAAGACGTTCTGGAAAAGAAAAAAAAAAGAAGACCTAAATGAAAGATCTCTGCGAGTGAGATCCCAGTGGAAAGAATGGGGCCATCAAAGAAGGAGGTACCTTTCTCTGAAGGGAGGAGAGAACTTCCACTTTGACTATTACCCTGTCAGAATAAGATCGAAGTCGGCCAACTCAAAAGGCTTCCAAGGCCTTGGCCACTCATGACTAGAGCCTAGGGAGATTACTGACGCCATAACAAGAGTGTCAAATTGTTAAGTCAACAACAGGAGTCACTGTGTACTTACTTCTCATGTGCGATCTGTCCTTAATGTGTTGTACAATGTGAATTAATGCTATAACTAGTACTCAAACAGTACTTTACACTTTGTGTTCTGTGTGGGTGCAAACTGATGAAATCTTTACTTAATATATACTAAATCGATCTTCTGTATATAAAAATAATTGAAAATGAATCTTGATGTGAATGGAATGGGAGAGGGAGCAGGAGACGGGAGGGGTGTGAGTGGGAGGGAAATTATGGGAGGGGGGAAGCCATTGTAATCCATAAACTGTACTTTGGAAATTTATATTTACTAAATAAAAGTTAAAAAAAAAGATTTGGGATTACAGGATACACAATTCAAAATTCTAAAACACTATACTAGGGAAGTAAGTGCTACATTTGGCTATTAGTTAAATGATTTTCAGAATTTAGCTTTAAAAGCAAAATAAAACAAACCATGCTTACCATACACTTATAATGTGCAGCTGCCTTCTTAGCATTAAATATATGCAGTTTTCCTCTTGCTTCATTTTCTTCCTCCCCTACATGACAAAATCCACATTTGGGCCTTGTATCACTAGGGCTGCTTCTATGTGGAGATCTATCTCTCTGTAAATGTAAAAAGAAAGAAAAAACCAACTTAATAAAATCCTATCAGTATTTCAAGCTTACATTACATTTCAAATGAGGAACTTCATCTATAGACACAGTTTAAATAAAATATTCATGGCACAACAAAAAGTTAAGAATCCAAAAGTTTTCTACGTACGTAAGAACTACTTTCCATTTCATCTGTTCCATGGGAGGATGTGGACCTTGTATCTTCTGACAGCCCTTTGAAATTGGTTTTTCGTGGCCTGCCTTTGCGACTTTTCTTTTTATTTTTAGGTGATGAAGGCTCCAGTTCATGCTCATTAAAACTTTCTTCTAAATCAGCTGCTTAAAAATAAACAAATGCTTTATAGGGACCAGTCTTAGAATGACCATTATTAGTTCACAGGTCCTTAGGACATACATTTCTCCTTGGCGTGAAATCATCTCCAGAAATGAGGAGACATGGTCTTTGATATGTCCAATACCGCAATGCAATGTTACAGAAAAATACAACAAAATCCAAATATAATAAAATGGTTATATTACAAATATTGAAATCTTATTTCCTTTGGATTTGCAATTCTGTAAAAGTGAGCTGTATGATCTTTTTTTTTTTTTATTTTTGACAGGCAGAGTGGACAGTGAGAGAGAGAGACAGAGAAAAAGGTCTTCCTTTTGCCGTTGGTCCACCCTCCAATGGCCACTGCAGCCAGCGCGCTGTGGCCGGCGCACCGCGCTGATCCAATGGCAGGAGCCAGGTACTTATCCTGGTCTCCTATGGGGTGCAGGGCCCAAGTACTTGGGCCATCCTCCACTGCACTCCCTGGCCACAGCAGAGAGCTGGCCTGGAAGAGGGACAACCGGGACAGAATCCGGCGCCCCGACCGGGACTAGAACCCCGTGTGCTGGTGCTGCAAGGCGGAGGATTAGCCTAGTGAGCTGCGGCGCCGGCCTGTATGATCTTGATTATGTGACTTTTAAAACTTTAAGTTAGTTATAATAAAATTAAACTCCATTCATCAGCCATATTGACCACATTTCAAGAGCTTATTGATCCTATGTGCCTAGCTGCAACTGCATTAGACAGTACAAACATATAGTTTCCACCATCAAAGAACAGTTCTTTCGGATGGTACTGCTCTAGATAGCTCTTCAAACCATCATAAAAACTGAATGAACAAATTCATTAAGGAAGTCACCCACGAATGAAATAACTGATCAAGTAATTAAACAAATATTAAGCAAAAAGGAGTTTCTAATACAAGTGGTAGAAAAGCTATGCTGCGAATTAATTGTGTATATTATAGTAGATGAAACAAATGTAGAAATTTTAGAACTGCATTTCCCAGCAATTTGAAAAGAATTTCTACCATTAAAAAAGGTGTTCCAGGGGCCATCATCGTGGCATAGTAAGTTAAGCCTCCACCTGTGGTGCCAGCATTTCTGCTAACTGCCTGGGAAGACAGTGGAAGATGAGCCAAGTGCTTGGGCCCCTACATCCTCATGGGAGACCTGGAAGAAGCTCCTGGCTTCGGATTAGACCAGCTCCAGCTATTGCGACCATTTGGGGGGTGAACCAGTGGATGGACGACCTCTCTCTCTGTCTGCAACTCTGCCTCTCAAATACATAAATAGATCTTTAAAAAAGTTTATCTTTAAAAAAAAAAGGTGTTCCAGTTTTTGCTACAAACATTTTATTAGTTGAGGGCATATCATTATACAAGACAATAAATTCTCAAAAATGTGTAACAACCAATTGCTCACTTATCTTAGGGTCAAGCTATAAAGTTTTTTTTTTTTTTTTTGACAGGCAGAGTGGACAGTGAGAGAGAGAGACAGAGAGAAAGGTCTTCCTTTTGCCGTTGGTTCACCCTCCAATGGTCGCCGCGGCCAGCGCGCTGCGCTGATCCGATGGCAGGACCAGGTGCTTCTCCTGGTCTCCCATGGGGTGCAGGGCCCAAGCACTTGGGCCATCCTCCACTGCACTCCCGGGCCACAGCAGAGAGCTGGCCTGGAAGACGGGCAACCGGGACAGAATCCAGCGCCGGTGTGCCGGCGCCACAAGGCAGAGGATTAGCCTATTGAGCCGCGGTGCTGGCTCAAACTATAAAGTTTTTAGCAAAGTTATAATACCTTCATTGATTTTCCTTTACCACATCACTGATTATAATTCTAGAGACTAATATCTCAATGAGAAAGCAGATCAACTGCTATTTCTCAGATACTAATATTTTTCCTAACACAGGGTTTTTTTTAAAGCACACTGTTTTTTGTTTGTTTGTTTATTTATTTTTTGACAGGCAGAGTGGACAGTGAGAGAGAGAGACAGAGAGAAAGGTCTTCCTTTTGCCGTTGGTTCACCCTCCAATGGTCGCCGCGGCCAGCGCGCTGCGCTGATCCGATGGCAGGACCAGGTGCTTCTCCTGGTCTCCCATGGGGTGCAGGGCCCAAGCACTTGGGCCATCCTCCACTGCACTCCCTGGCCACAGCAGAGAGCTGGCCTGGAAGAGGGGCAACCGGGACAGGATCCGGCGCCCCGACTGGGACTAGAACCCGGTGTGCCGGTGCTGCAAGGCGGAGGATTAGCCTAGTGAGCTGCGGCGCCGGCCTAAAGCACACTGTTAACAACAAGTTAATTCAGGAAGTATACTTGAATATATGTAAACTTAAGAAACTCACGTAGCAGACTGTTTGTAAAATAATTAATAGCAATCTTTTATAAATACAACTTCACATAACAATGGCAGGACTTGAAGGAGTAAAGGGGGAAAGGCCAAAGTTATGGGATGGTGTTTTATAGGTAAGAAGACAAACTCATGTGAACAACTCTTCCTGTACAGACAGTCAATAAAAGATATCCTCTGATATTAACATTACAACAAATTTCATATCAGAACACACTATCTATTTTAAATACTCAAAGTGATAATTTTGAAGACGTGAGATTTCATTAAAGCTGCTAGAATTATTTATAGTTGTCAAAAATTTAAAGTCTTAAAAAGTCATAACCAAATGTTTCACTCATTGTTAGATATAGATGCATATACAAGGGTTTGTGGAAGAAAATGGAGTTAAAAGTATACGTAAATATTTATTTATATATGTATATATAACATTCAGTTTTCTAAAATGAAAGCAATTATCACTAACACTATAATAACACTACTTTATTAAGTATCTATAAATAAATCACCTAAGAACTAATTCTATTACAGGCCAACATGACTGATTTCCCACCTGGCATTTTTGTCCTATATATGAGATTATTCAACATTTAAAAGTCACAGCATAATCACAAAAAGATTCATGGATTTAACTATTAGACTTTCAAACTAGTGAGAAGTTTTTTTAAAGGGTAGTAAGCTAAATGACAAATAATAAATTAGAAAAATATTTGTTGGACCTGTGACAAATGATTAGTATCCTTAAATGATAAACTATATATAAGATTAAGACTTCAAGGGTAAAATAGATCAGATATTCCTCCGGGGAGACCTGGAGGAAGCTCCTGGCTCCTGGCTTTGGATTGTAGCAGCTCCAGCCACTATGGCCATCTGGGGAATGAACCAGCAGATGGAAGACCTCTCTGTCTCTACCTCTAACCCTTTCAAATAAATAAAATAAATCTTTAAAAAATTACTTTAATTTTAATAGTATTTCTATACCATTTAAAATTTTTTAAACAATGGACAATGTGGTATTTTTAGAATTAAAAAATGTATAACATCCAATGTGGTGAAAGGAGGGATTGGAATATGTTTATTCACCAACAATGGGAATACAAAGCAGCACAATCTTTCTGCAAAGGAATAGGGCACCATGTATCAGGAACCTTAACAAGTGTATCCCCTTTCATTCAGCATCTCAGTTATAGGAATTCATTCTAAAAGTAACTGAAAGTGCACATAGCTAGCCACTATAATCCACTGCTTTTTGTTCCCCAATTCATAACTGTGAAAGCATTTTAACACTTAAAAATTATTTTTTCTTTTGTAATTATAAAAGATCGGCATAAAAGTAAAAACCTTCCTTCCATCTTCTCCTTCTACCTGCTCTGCACTCGCAGCTGGTTCCCTAGTCTCCCTCTTCAAACTGCTTCCTTCCCAGGTAACTACAGATAATTGCTTTATTCTTAGCCTTGGGGGTTAAGAACCCCAGGCTGAATTGTGGATCTGGCACACACCTTTTGGCCTTAGACCAGAGAAGTACCTCAGAGGGTTCTTGAATGAATTACATGAGTTAGTCCATGTAAAGAACTTAGGACAGTGGCATGAAAGACGCTCTCAATAAATGTTGGCTATTATTTTCTCTGAGTGTGCAAACATTTGTTAAAAAGATACACAAATGGGGGCTGGCGCCGTGGCTCACTTGGTTAATCCTCCGCCTGCGGCACCAGCATCCCATATGGGCGCCGGGTTCTAGTCCTTGTGGCTACTCTTCCAGTCCAGCTCTCTGCTGTGGCCTGGGAAGGCAGTGGAGGATGGCCCAGGTCCTTGGACTCCTGCACTCGCATGGGAGACCAGGAGGAAGCACGAAGCACCTGGCTCCTGGCTTCGGATCGGCACAGTGCACCGGCCATAGCGGCCATTTGGGGGGTGAACCGACGGAAGGAAGACCTTTCTCTCTGTCTCTCTCTCACTGTCTAACTCTACCTGTCAAATAAAAAAAAAAAAAGATACACAAATGGTTGGGGCCGGTGCTGTGGTGTCATAGCTTAAGCATCCACCTGTGGTACCTGTGGCACTGGCATCCCATGTGGGCACCAGTTCTAGTCCCAGCTGCTCCACTTCCGATCCAGCTCCCTGCTGATGGCCTGAGAAAGCAGTAAAAGATGGTCCAAGTCCTTGGGCCCCTGCACCCACATGGGAGACCTGGAGGAAGCTCCTGGCTCCTGGCTTCAGATCGGCGCAGCTCCAGCCATTGTGGCCATTTGGGGAGTGAACCAGCAGATGGAAGAGCTCTTTTTCTTTCCCTCTTTCTGTTTGAAACTCTGCCTCTCAAATAAATAAACCTTTTTTTAAAAAAAGATACACAAATGGCATCCTAAGCTACTATTCTACATCTTGCTTTTTCCATTTTCCATCACAGTACATACAAACTGCCCTTTAAGAGCTAATAGTAATCCACTGTATTTAACCAGCCACCTATTATATTGCTTGCAAACTATTTTCATTCTTTTTCTATTACCAATGTTTTAAGGAACATCTTCCTCCATTAATCTTTGCTTGTTATACAACCTTTTTTTTTTCTTTTTTGACAGGCAGAGTTAGAAAGTGAGAGAGAGAGACAGAGAGACAGAGAGAAAGGTCTTCCTTTTTCTGTTGGTTCACCCCACAAGTGGCCGC